TTGAACTGTTTGTTGACTGCTGAACCAGTGGGACTAAATCTCTGTGCTTGTGTCAACTGTTGAACGTCACAATTAATCCCTGTGACATTTTTTAGCCGTGAATAATTTTTCCTACCGTGGAATATATCACGCACGCGGAACCATCTGTGGGAAATTCCGACAAGTGAATGTTTCCTTTCACAGCCAGTTACTGCATTTGGATCGGTGTAGTGGACTATTGGACCTATACATTCGTGAGTCCCCATTTGACTACTCATTCCTTTCCTATTGTGATTTTGTGCTTTTGTATTGGTTACTTTTGCTTGTTAATTTATCCGAACACGCTGATAAGGTCCTAGTCCATTACACATCTTACCTCTAATGAACTACGTCATTCAGATACGAAACTCTTGGATTAAGCGCGATGAGAAAACCCAGGGAAACATAAAATGAAGAACACTAAATGTTTCGGAGAGCTAAACAACCCTATCTGCGCCGAACAGATTATCGCTGTGACAGTATACTCCATGAACCCTAGGACGATATGAAGGGACCCTGTGCTCACGTTTGACACTCTTACAACCGTAACATCGCCTGACATCCGCTTCTGTGATTGCTCGCAACAACCAACCGACTTGAAGATGGAGCAAATTACAGTTGTTTCGACTGGAAAACCGCTGCCTAATTTCATATACTTTATTCAACTTCATGGAAATTCTGAGAGGCTACACGATGTGTAGCTTCCTGCAACATATGTTGCATGAAATTAAAGTCAAATCCAGTCATTAAGATTCACTATCTATGGGCAACACACACTTACCTGACTGGTTACCGAGCTTCTGTGCATTCTCTGACAGGTTAAGTATACATAAGTAGAGCTCGCCGTATGCTAACTGAGGCAAGAATTGCAGCCGCCACTCATGGTCATTTAGGCGGTTTTCGAAGCGCGATATTTGCAATTCCTGGATTTCTTTTGCAAACCTTCTTCCATCATGCCAGTTATACAAAATTTACCCGTGTAGAGCTGATTGAAAATACTTCAGATAGCTTATTACATCACTCGACGACGGTATATTTCCGGTAATGCCAGAAAGTTTAGAACATGATTCTTGAAGTAGTTTGAGCTTTGACGAAACTATCGTTTCAAGGATGTTCTGAGTGTAATGAAATGACCTTACAAGTCTGAGTCCTTTGATTGGACATCCACGGGCATTAGCAAACCATTCGAAATGCCGGACAACCCAGCTATTGTGCTTTGGCCTAGTAAAACAATGCTGCAGGAACGTGTCTTCGAGTGATAGTATTAAGAGTTCCATCCACGGCATTTTGTGTTCAGTGAAGGTGGAAGTAGATAAATGACAGTATAAATAATCTTCATTCAAAGTTCACATCCGTCTCGTGAGTTACAGCTGAACACACCGAGGTCTCTGGGAGCCCGTCTAGTTCAACTTGCTCGATGCGGTGCACAGGTGGTTTCGGCCGGTTAGTTTTCTCTAGGATTACCACCATCACCCAAAGCAAGGCAGCTGATTGATTTTTCTGCGCCGTTCATTCTCACTTTTCTACTTATCTCTCATCGGTTGGGGAAAACAAACGCTTTCAGCATGAATGCCTTGAAGGCTGGGGAATCCTTGCCATATAAATGATGTATTATTATCCGCGTGAACGCGGGATATGTTTCATTTAACCCTTTCTAATCCTTCTCACTTAAGAGGGCAGAGGACCTGTAGGTTGCTGCCCTGAGCGGTCCCTGGTAGAAGTGGTACAGGATTTCCAGTTATCCTCAAATTTGAGGTATTTTGTTCTCCCCCGCCTTCTCGCAGTTCCTCGATGACAGAGCGTTCTTCCGTAGTGTTCTGCTTAGTGACCTGACTCTGGTCTCGGAGGAATTTGGAGTCTACCCAACTCTTATATTCGTGAAATATTCTCAGTAGCTACGCAACTTGAAGCTGGCCAGTCTTAAGCATGGTTATGGCGCTGAAGGAAAGTGTGTGGTGGGGACAAACGCCTCAAATAGTTGGTTCATAACGGACAATGTCCGTGCCCTAGCACTTTCGAACTTTTCCTGTGTAAGACCGCACGAGAAAAGAAGCACCTTGTTCCAAATTTTCTCGATTTCCGCTCATAAAAAACGCGTCTATCCATCGTTATCAGATGTTCGTTGCCCATCATTTGTGGAAGAGACAATCCAGTAGAGCGTTAAATACATGGATTCTAACTTAAGTCATATCTGAACAGCTCCATAAGCATCTATTCACCACGCATGTCGAACCGATTTGCAAACTTCCTTCTATTAAGCGGAATATTAATGGGTAGGGGTCGCATAACGATCACCTTGTCCTCGCCCATGTTTCTGAGCTTTCGACATCCGAGTTTCATGACTAAAACTACTCCAAACTCTAACGTTTGACCCCGATAATCACTAAAAGAAAGGAGGCGATCTCATGAATGCATAAATTTCAAGTTTCCAACTGTCGGCGACAAAAAGCAGTGATAAGTTGCACCCCTTTGCCAAGGAATTGGCACATCCTAAGATGAGCTGCCATCCGGTGCTCCATGTGCACCCACGTCATATGAATAATATTCGATCGCCAGGAACGTCACAAAATAAACAAAGTTGTGTGGACAAGCTTTTATGGGGTAGCTTTCGGTCGGGCTATATTCTTCAGCGCCTGATGTGGGGGTGACGAATCGACTGAAAGGTTTTTCAGCAGTTTGATGATATTGCTCCCTCGAGTACTTCAACGAATTACTTAACGTTGCTTACGCCATACAGAACCAACGGTATCTGAGCTGAATTTTCTACCCCTCGGACAAAACCTACCGGTGGAATTCAGCTGTCCCATTATATCCGGCTGCGTGGAATCGATCATATTATTTTATCAAGGATTCTCTGGAATGAGGCACGATCTAAGTGTTTCTTTGGTGAATCAAGAGAGTCAGGCTGTAGATCTTTAGACGCACAAGCCTATATAAGAACGACATTCAAACGATTTTAACCATGTATGACGCCGTTTCCTTTGTTTAACTCGGACGGGCCCATTTGCAATGTGAGTAGGGAGCGAGTCCCCTTCGATGCAAGGCAGATTTTCTTTCTCAGTTGATGTTGACACCTGCAATAAACCAAATTACTTGTCCCGTCAAACGGTAATGGTCTTCAAAATTCAGTCGTTATTCCACTCGTGACTGGGATACATGTTGAAAAAATTATTCCACGTATTTCAAGCACCGGCTATTTGAACGGACGGGAACTATCGTCCGAAATTTGTTACCGCATTTTCTACTTTGGCTGGGTACGGATTCCTGCTTTAGACTGGGTTTGGAGGGAACCTATGTAACAGGTGGATTGGAACTACCCGCCATTTGGTTGTTGATTGATTGCCTGCTGATTCGTCCGCCGAGCTCGGCAATAAATGGTTTGGATGACTTGGTTGGCTGTTGTCGACTCCACCTAGCCTGTGATCTACAACCTCAGGATCCCAAACGGGCCAGAAAACCTGCGATTGTAAATTGACTTCGTTCCACTTTCTTTCCTAGGCCAGCCCGAAGACAATCCCGCTGCTCAACGAAGCGCCCATCCCAGCCCAATGACCTTAAATACGACGTCCGTTACTGGGCTGTCCAAAGACCGAAGTACGTCAGACCGACAGTGGTACGGCACTGCCATACGCCGTTTGATAGCACACCCGCAACTATTCCCTTTCTCTCTCCTACTCTCTCACCCACTCGTCCCGTTAACTTCAAATGCGAACAAGCTCCCCACGTGACCCCATTTGCCTCTATGACATGTTCATCCCAGTCTGCTGAATTTTCCGTTCCAATTTAACCATTTCTCGTGTGTCGCCATCACTTCACTTTTCGAAGGAGCTATTGTGCCCGACAGCAGCAACATCGGTGAGTCTCTACAGTTTTCCTGACCATCATGTTTCAATGCTTCCTGTCGACACCCATCCGCTTTGCTGATTCCCCACTTCATCATTCACACTTACGCTTTTTGTGCCCCTGGCCATGAGCCCAACTGTCCAAGGCCACGAGGTCTCAGCGGTGGTTTTAGGTTTTAGTTCAGTTTGACGGGCTGTATGACACGAACCCTGCTGCTTCAGCAGATCTGGTTTTTCACAGTTACACCTTTCTTGTCATGTGTCAGGCAGAGGCCTCTTGTTTTGGCCTCCCTCACTTTGTGTTTCTGCCACAAGGCATAGAAGGCCAACGACATGCTGAAGTCATTGAAGGTTGTTTTCGTAAAGTATTTGTTGTTTCTGGACTCAAATATTGCAATATAAACCTGATGTTCCGATAGGCTCTAAGGAGTGGTCTTAGACTGATTTCCGCATAAGCGCGAAATCGCAATTTCTAGGCAGGTGTGAAATATTTTTGGATCCAAGCCCAACCGTAGCGCTTCGCGTGCTTCTCGTATAGTAAGTAGACACAAATTCAGTATGCTCCTTAATGACTGTACTTGTCTTGCGTTCTGATTCTTCCACACTTAATTAGACTTTCTTGAATCCCAAGTCTCGCAGCACCAGACAGGTGAGGCCTTTTACCTCCACATAGGCAGCCCGTAGCCCGTAAGAAATAACATCAATTCTACTGTCTTCTTCATAACAATCTACCATCCCATATCTTACAATATTAGCGCCCCTTCCTTCTTGAACATTGACTCCCAGCTATCGTGCTTACGTTTATACAGGACTCGACTCTGGTTTTCGGTATTTGGTTAGGTTTACAAGTTCATGTGCACCTGAAAATTTGAAACCCTCTGTTTTGTCTTATTTTCTGCCGCCTGTGACAAAGTTCGTACCATATACACTTGACATTCTTATCGATGTGTTGTCACTCACTTTTGCAGTCCTATCTAGGCCATACAATCACATTGGAGGTCAAAGTTGGAGCTAATATGCCTGTAATACGGTCCAGACGAACGTTAAAATTTAATCCGTATTGCTTCATCAACAAAAGCATTTCAACCCAAATCCAATAACCGATAATGCCACGACTGCCGATTTCCTCTAGGCGGTGGTTAGACCCTTAATCTCCATCATCCCCTCCCTCAGTATGTCCAAAGAGGGCACTGGCAGCCCAGAGGCCAAGCTCTCAGCCATATGACCCTTCAATGCCATTCGATAGAGAACTCTAATTAACTTGAGGCTCTTCGACAGTAGTCTTCCTGTTCATCAGCAGCCTTATTCCCTCACTGTTACCAGAAGAACTTCAGGTTTACACAGAAATAATAAGTCTACGAACTCTAGTACATAATGTATAAAACGGAGATGCCCCCATCCAAAGCACTCAGCCGGTCGCTTCCTTCTGACTTTTGATCCAACCTGTGAATCGTCAGATCCCGCAGAAGCGTCTATTTTAAGATCAGTCAACGCCTGGAATGTCGTTACTAGGTCCTGATATACAACGCTAGTGACCTGATCCCGCTCGAGCACCTAAATATGCTATCTTGACAGCATGAAACATGCTTGACACGTCCCGCAAAACTGGACGGCGCAAAAACCGAAACTGTCCCTGCGTTACCCAGTACTGATGCAATACAAAGATTAAACAATACAGTACGTCTACTAGCATCATAGTTTTTTTCTCTCCTCTACCAGTATTCCAAAAACTTAAGAGAGTGCTGGCCCTATTTAATTGCAAAGACAGCTTTTTTTCTCTCCTCTACCAGTTATTCCAAAACTTAAGAGAGTGCTAGCCCCATTTAATTGCAAAGACAGCTCAATGAAATTTCGCCCTCCAAATCTCTGAATTCGGCCGCTTAAAACTGCCAAGCAGATCCGTTTCCATTCACTGGACTGGACCAGTCAGTACTTCTGATTGGACTCAGCCGGTGCCTCTAACGGATGTGGGAATTGCCATTATTTAATAAGCTTGCGCTATTCAGTTCGGCTATCCCAAAGCCAAAAATATCAAGGCCATCGGAGTTGCTGCACACCTTGTGGTTGGCTTCCGAGCTTTGTCATAGTTTGCCAACAAAGGTGGTCTCGCTTGTAGATCTCTCATTAATTAGACCTCTACTGTATCCAGAAGTGCGGACTTCTTCAGCTACAAACCGACACTTCTAACACCATGGCATTTTATTGTTCAGAAGAATGCCGAAACTGCCCAGCTGCTCTTCGGTTGTAAATCAGTACACAGGCAGTCGGCAATCCAAAATCGTTGTCCCCTTGTTTTGAATAAAGTGATAAAGGTCGACTGACAGACGGTGTTTAAGCCAGGCTGGGCGACCTGCACTTCCTTTACTATTTGTCAACAGCAAATACGCTAAACTTGATACCCTTTTCTGACTCCACGAATTTCGGATTCGGGAGTTGCCTGTTGCAATTCACTACAGCACCTCAGAACTGAAACTAAAGATGTCACATTTTGCCTTCTCCGCGCAAAAGTTATACGAAGATATCCCCCGTGCATTCGTTTAACGCCCTCTCAAACGTTGTGGAGAAAGCAGAAATGCGGCTGCCAGTAATTTTAACGGAAATCTCCGAAATTGAGCCAAGAACATAGCAAGTTCCAAAGGTGCAAATTCGAAATTAAATAACCACAAAAGTAACACTGATTACTTCCAGGATAATTCAACACTTGGTTGGATCATATATATGTCAATTAATGCTACATTCTAAAGCAAGTGTTGTCCTCCGATGCACCACGTCTTTTGTGGAAAATTGCATATGCCAAAAAGTGACCCATACAAGATCACTCTGAAAATCGTCACAAGCACCAGGCAGTAGCAAAATAAATTGTTGAGTGACATACAGTTGCTTGGCCGGTAAAGGGATTAGCGTGCAACTCGTGCATAACAGCAAAATGACGAATAAAGAAGAGAACCATGAAGANCATACATAGGTCCTTGTCCACTACAAGTCTGATGGAATATTTTTCTAGCCTGGATGCCTAAATGGGGCTCAGAAGTTTAGGCTCGAACTCTGAACTCCACTACATATAACTTTTAGTCCGTCAGGGACACGTCGCAGCTTTCGAAAGTTCAATTCCCTTGTACGAATACTGAGCGCCGACTGTCATATTTCCGTTAAAGTTTGCTTGAATGTACGCAAGTCCTACGTTAGGCGCGGAATTACGAATTTTATTTGCTGTCATAGTTCAGCGCGATCCCTCCGTAAGGGCTGTGAATAAACTTGTGCATTCGTTGTAATTGAAAATGCTTAAAAATTGTACGTGAACAATAATTACATTCATTTTATCAGCATAAAAAAAACAAAAGAAGCAGCCAATCACGGCGTATACATGAGAATGCTTCCTATGGCTGCAGCAGCTACCCGTCAGACAAAACAAAAGGGGGCCTATCATCGTGATAGACAACACAAATTGTACCGAGTTCCCAGCGAAGTTCGGTCCTCACCGGTAGAATGACACCCTGATAATAACTTCCAACCACCTTGGGCACAAACACCCAAGGTGTAAGTTCCTCATGGAAAATTCCCTGTCATCCAATGTCTAGGCCTAAACCAAATAAAGAAGTGTGGGGCTCCACTGAAGTACGGGACACCATCATCGGAGGGGTGGCAATATGTTGCGGCTGAATTGGGGAAGGAGTGGACCACCCAAGATACGCATGACAATTACGGTGAACATTGGATTCTACTGTCGAGCAGGTCATTGTGTACGTTTTTCTTAGGGAGACGCTATGCCATTGGCTTACAAAAACACACGAGGGGTGGCAATATGTTGCGGCTGAATTGGGGAAGGAGTGGACCACCCAAGATACGCATGACAATTACGGTGAACATTGGATTCTACTGTCGAGTAGGTCATTGTGCACGTTTTTCTTAGGAAGATGCTATGCCATTTGGCTTACAAAAACACACCGCGAATGGAGCCATATGCTGGTGGAATCTGGTGGTAATTGCTTTAGCTACTTGTGTTTTTCATACGCTCTCAGTGCGCTGTTGTGCAAGTAACTATGTGATGGATAATAAACACCTAGATTGTGACATGATTAGAATGTCCTGGGGAGAACGGCCCCTAGTTCGCCCCACACCCAAACGCCCAGTGGCTCTACATCACTCACAGGTGGATCATTCACGCACAGCGTTTGTTGGCTAAAATTATATGTGTCTGCTAAGTGCTTTTGAGACGCAGATGGATGTCGGAAATGCCATGCGCACCATGCCGACACCCTGGAACATGGCGTCCAGAAGATCTCCCAGCGAAGTGAGCGGCTTAGCGGTGAATATGAGGTGTACGTCGCCTAGCAATGTGACCGGCGAGAAATTCGGGAGACAGAGATGTTCTACTTGTGGTTTACCGCACGTCGACATATGCTGTCAACCATGTTTTAGACATGTTGTCACAGGCACACTAAACATAGATTACTATCAGACTGACTTTTATGAGATGAGAGCACATTGTTTATAACACTTGGGTTCTGAATCAAACCTCTAGCCAGTTCTCGAACTTAGCGTACACCTCCTCGGTATCCGGAAACCGTTCATCCACATTCATAAGTTGTATCTTAACACATGCATTGCATAGGCCAGTTTCTATTCATTTAAGTACAAGACCAGAGAGCACCTTCTGTGTGCTGCTTCACGGCTTATGCTATGGCACCATTGCACCACAAAATGGTACATAGTTGTCCAAGGATAGCTGGAACAACGTCTCGACCACTGGCTCGGTCAGTCAGCCTTTTGTGGTTCCCACACTATATGGCATTCTACACCAATGGACGATACCCCTTGTGATCACTGTGGCCTGTCGGCTGACCCTGATGATTGCCAGTGCCCGCAGGACCAAATAACATATAATGGCTATTGACGTGATATCGTACCTTGTCCGCTGTGTGGAGATCTGCGGACATCCTCCAGGTGAGTTTGTACGTGGTACAGAGAATTTTCTTCAGGCACCGTCCCGCAAACACAACCCTCTTGTTACCTGTTGATTATCTTAAAGGGTGCGCTCTGAATTGGACATTCATTGGTCCCTGGAAGCCCAGGCGAGCCTGTTCTATGAAGCTGCTGCACTCAAAATATCAGCAGTTGATTTGGACTGAGGATGTAATCTAGACCCATGTATGCTATGCTAGACTCTGCATCTGAATCGCGAGATGGCAACTTCGTCTGATTACCAAATAGTCGAATGCCTCCCATGTTCCCTGCAGGATCGCTCTCCCGGCTGTTGGCTTGACGTCGTATTCCGGCTAGCGTGCTGGCGTGCTGCCGTGACCATAGAAAGAATGACACCAAACAGTACTAATCAAAACTAATGGAGATGTATGATAGAATGCCGGGTACGTAATGGCAAATCACTGAAATCAAACGCTAATTCACCCCTGTAGGTTCTTCAAGCACTCCGAAATATAAAAAGGTTTCTCTGACTTTGAAGGTTCGACAACAGGTACTTGCGGATCATTAAATCGTCCCTAGACCATATTCATGGTCATACGCTTCAAAAAGCCAGGGGTCCTTGGACGCTTTAGATCAAGTCTCAACCATATAGAAAGACCACACTTATGACGAAACTGTGTAGGCCTATTTTTGGCCAAAATTACGCTAGTTTCTAATTAACTGTACGTTACTGAATACCAAGAATGGTACATCGTGGTAGATATTTATTCCTCATTCTCAACAACGGGACCGTTGGGTAATAAAATTATCACTATTTTATTGTAACGGTAAATAATTTTGGCGCCTTTGCCAAATATAAGGGAGAATAAATTGGCCACCCATTGTCATTTGAAAATCATCATCGAGCGAATGTTGTCTACAGAATACGTAAAATCGAAGCCTCCACACTACTACAAATAAATAAGTACTATTTTTCGAACAGTGGTTCCATAATGGTTAAGTGCAAGCAAGTCAGAGCGACAGCACTTACTTTAAGGGTGATACCAAGCCCTTCCGTATTAGATAAGGCTGGGATTATTATTTTGGTCCTCATACTCAGCGACACGCATATGTACGGGCGTAGAAGTTGCGTTAAGAAGCCATGTTGGGCGATAGTGCGTAGGATTATTGCGATAACGATTCATCGTCGGCTAAGTTTTCCGACATTGTCGTTGCTGCTTCCAGGGAAATCGAGCTTGAGGAGTTTAGTTTTTTCACAGGAAAATACTCTTCACAAAAGTAACCGCAACTTTCATGCTGATTGACGAAGAAGGCTGTATCATCTCTTGACAGATTGCGCGTGGCTCATGGGGGAAAACACTACTGCAGTTGTCCGGTGACCCAAATATTTTACAGTACATCACGCTATCTGAATGTATCGTGCTCGACTCAAGGAGATGGTGAACAACAATGGTGTTGGAACCAACCTCTGCCAAACCGATTGCATCTAACAAGTAGAATCAACCCATACTTCATCCACGTATTGAACTGGATGGAAATTGCATTCGAAATTAGGCAGAAGTTATCCTCAGCCTTTTAAACACCATGAACAGCTACGCTTTGCAACGTCTTTAATCTTTGTCCTGTTGCCGATCCTTAGAAACAAACCCCCAATTCCCCCGAAACAATAGTGTCCACTAAGGCGAATTTTTTACACGAAAGTTTAGCATTTGAAGGTATTTATTCGAACTTTCAATACCCTTCACACGGAGGCAAATTTTAACAAAAAGTGTTTCAGCAAGCTCAAGGTCCAATTTGAGCTTGTGGTTCCTTTTTTTAATAACTGTACGATGTCTCTGTAAAGACGGTAGGGAATCTTGCGGAAAAGTTGGTTTCTTCAAATGTGTTACCCTTTACTGCATTTAGAGAATATTTTGAGAGAACACATGAACTCTAGTTTTATCGTCTTTACCCTCCCAATCTCAAAGTGGACCATCCATTTTCGAAACATCCAGAAAGAATTTCCGCACCGTTGCAGCAGGTGCCCACCAAACACAGCCAGGAAATTTATCGAAGCTAGTGTGTTTGGCGGGCCTTTTTATAGTCAGCACACGCTATATTGGGTGCTTGGCAAGATTTATCTTCACCGGTATACTTCTTCCTTGAAAGTGCCATCGGGGGGTAGTTGGTTAATGGTTACTGCGGGCAGACAGTATAATAATCTGGCCAGAGCTTTGAAGTTTCGGCACCAAATCCGACGGTGTTAGACCGTCATTTGTGCATATGCAACACGCTCGGGAGAAAAGTGGCAGATATATTAGTGAACCACGTTCCCGGTTGCTGCGACGTTATACTTTGGCCTATGGACAGCTTCGTACACGAACACCCGAAAAATTAGGAGAGCATGGGTTAAAGATAACTTAGGGGTCATCGAGGGCGAATGGCGATTTCTTGCTCCACTGGACTGCAGCTCATAATATCAGACAGTTGAAAATGGTTTCATTTTCTAACTGCCGTCATTAGACGGCACTGCCCGGTTTAAGAAACGAAGGACGATGTTATGTTGGAGATAGTTAAGAATAACAGTATGCGAATGACGCGAACCGGCCGGGGCCATATGCGAAAATGTGTAACGTTCATTGACCACATTTTGTGGCCCCGGGTTCATCGGCAATTATGTAATCATCCATTAAACTGTGTAGCAAATGCAAGCGTGTGCGTAAACGATTCCTGAAAATGAGGCTGAGACCCACGTGCCTACGTAGCTCCCTCGTGTTACCAGGTGGTCAGATTGCAGGCATCCGGGAAGTAGAATTATCGTGCATTTAAGCGCCATATGGTCAAAAAGGGATTAGAAAGCCATTACAGATAACCGTTGGATCGGTTCAGCGACGTTCGTGCAGAGAGTGGGTTAGGAAGCGGCACATGAATACAATTTGCCAGTTGTGGTCCAGGCTGAGTTGCAGAAAACTGATTAGAGATATGGATAGGTTTCCGATATTACGTGCATTGTGGAAAGTAGTGTCAACTATTTCTGTAGGTTGTGTGAGTCGTGATGAATTAATGGTTCAAAGCATGCAGGTAGAGGCAACCGGAGAGAAACTTGAAGTGTTGAACGTTCGAACTATAGGGTAAATTCAGCATGACACACTTACAGCCTTGGGAATTGGGTAGACCTTGGCTCAACCAGGGCCAGGGTCTGTGGAAGTTGAGGACTTGGCACAGATGATTGTGTCGATGCTTACATATAGGTGGCGGAAGAGAAGGCTAACCAATTAGGAGAAGCGTGGATCGGCACTCAAGGCGCGTTCGGTGGATGCATCATGGGAAGTCAGTTTCAATCGACTGCTTAGAGAACAAAGACGGGGGTGGTAGTATTGTGACAGTCAATGATAGTTGGACGTAGGATGAATGGTACCTGTTCCTGGTGCAATTAAAGGTAGGGAGAAACTTACAGTCCTCAGTTAGGTCATCATCGCCATCATCAGAGACAGTTAAGCTGCATCGAGAGTCGCTGTCTCGGTCACCGTTGTATTCGGATAGTCTAGACGTCATTGTGGGGGTGAACATGGTTGGCGATTTGTTGGCACGAATGATGAGTTAGATGAGACCCAAACCCATAGGACGGACATAAAAAAGTACCTCAGGGGAGCTTGAACTAGCAAAGCGCTTTCAGCATGTTAGGCGTGTCTGAACTTCAGGAGTTTTTGTGATCATAATCAAATGCTAAATATGACAAAAGATCCGGTTTCTAAGCGCGAGAAAAGTTGCCTTAAAGCGGGGCCAGAGGACTGATCCCCAAGGTAGTGAGAGTGCTACAGAAGTTGGGTGTGGGATGTTTACAAGTTATTTTAAGGAAAACAGGGCTTTTTTTTCTAATAATCTACAGGGCACAATTGGTGGCAAGCAGAAGTGGAGCGAAGTTAAATTTTAATGCAGTAAAGGAGGGGATTCGATGTTAATTACTGGCTAAATAATTAGATCCACGCTACAGCTAAATCCGTGGGTACACGTGTGAAGAAGAATGAAGTCTTTGAATTTCCAGGATCACTGTTATGCCAATTTGAATTACGACCGTCTTATGTATTCCGCTCTTTATCCTTAAATATGCTGTGTCTTGTAACGTGTATGATCCCTAAAACTTGAAGTCGCGCATCGGTTTACACACAGATCCTTCATCATCGACGATGTGATTAAATGGGCAATTTTCATGTTTTTCTTTGACTGTAAGACATCCGAAAGATTTTACCTAAGACAGATGATTCATAATGCATTTCCCTCCAAAAGCCCTGTCGCGTAAAACACACTTTCGGAAAGTGATTTTAGCTCTCCATCACATGGTGCCACAAGAAGCAGCGTGGACCAGCAGCTTCAAAGAGTTTATGACCTTTGCCAAAAACTGGATCGCATTGTTTGTTCTTCGCTGGTATATTGTTCATTCACAAGTGGCCGAAACTCTTTTATCCTTATTCTGTACCTTGAACAAATTTCTGAAAACGAGTTGTTTCAGCGTCAAACATGTCTGAAACCTGCTGGCTCCCTAGCCAGTTAGAATGAACTTACAGATGCTAGCCGTCAATGCATTTGTTAAGCACTTTTGCACCTACTGCTTCACTAGATTTTACTTTCACTCTATATGATGCGCCTGAGAAATATGAAGTTGAGAAACATGTAGAAGAAAGGAAAACAAGCTACAGTCCTTCATTTTATGCTGGGCTTGTGCGTCGTCATAATCATAGACGAGAACACCAGATGAGGACACCGGTGCTTAACTGTCACAACGACGTAAAGGTTTATTTGAATACAGACAAAAGGAGAAACGGGACAATGAGGATATCTAAAGCTTGTCTCCAAGCAACTGTAATACTCAACCAGACAAAATGAATGGTATCTGGTAGCATTAAAGCCGTCAATATATGTTATACGACATGCTCACAATATGTCCAGCCAAGCACAGAAGTATCACGGGGATTCAATCCCAAAATTTGTATTTTCTATTGTTTTTTTCAAACGTTATAACAATTTGGGTGGATATTCCGGGT